ATTCATCACGTTCCAGCCCCCACGCACTCCCGTACAGCCCACTCCACCTTCACTGCATGGAAAGAAACAAGAGTCCCTCCCTGCTGCCTCACCAGCCGGGGCTCAGCCCAGGAAAGCCCTATCCCTGGCGAGGAGCTGCCTGCAAGGTCACTCTCATGCCACCTGCCCCAAGTGCTCAGGAGACACTGAGGCTTCCTCATCTCCTTCACCTTCAATATTCGTTTAGGCAAGGCAAAGCTATGTTCCCCTGCTCCCAGAGTCCAGCTGAGGCTAGAAGTGGGGTCCGGGGCTTCTCTGGGAGCAATTTCCTACAGTCACTCTGACCAAGGGCATTATTTTCCCAGAAAGCTCTGAGGCTTTCTGGGTCCCTCTGAAATCAAGTCATCTCTCATGTGGCACAATGTAGCTACCCACCCCCTTTCAGGACCTCTTAGGCTTTGCCCCAGTCCTTGGCAGAGGAGTGAATTTGGTTCATCCACCCACCCAAGAGAGAAGCTTCCCTAGTTCAATCCTGCACACCTCTCCTCCACCCCAAACTGAGCATTCCACGTGCCCTCCCCTCCCTGTTCTCAGGCCCTGGTCCTACTCACTAGGGGAGGCGCGAAGCTCTGCGCCCAGCAGCTCCCTGGACCCGCTGCCAGAAGACAGGCCCGGGGGTCCGGGAGGGGGCCCGGAGCCAGGAGGCCCCCCTGTGCTCTTGGTGAAGATGCCGCTGATAAACTTGAGCATCTTGCGATCTCGAGTGGATGCTCGGCCCCCCTCCCGGCCCCGTTTCAGCCCTGGAGCTGGAGGCTCCAGAGTGATTGGAGGTGCAGGCCCAGTGGGCTGCGCGGAGGCGGCGGTGACAGCAGCGGCTGGAGCCGGGGTTGCTGGGAGGGTTAGCGGAGGAGGAGAGCCAGCAGGCGGTCCCGGGTGCAAGTCACTGTTGTCCAAGGTCTTACTCTTGCCTTTCCGAGGGGACAGCTTCCCTCGGGCTCCCGACGCAGCCCCGACCCCACCAGAGGTCGTGGCTGCCGCTCCTCCTCCCCCGGCGGCGGCGGCGGCGGCGGCGGCAGAAGCTCCAGTCCCGGCGCTGCTCTTTGACCCCTTGACCCTGGGCTTGCCTTCGCTCTCGGGCCATGACAGGCGGCTACCCGCGCCCTTGCCCCCGCCGGCTTTGGAGCCACTCGTGGTTACGGTCTTGCAAGGCTTGGGAGCCGGCGGAGGAGGCGCCACCTTGAGCCTCCGACTGCCGGTGCCGGGGTGCGGGGAGGACGAGCCTGGGACGCCGCCGCCCGCCCGGCCTTCAGGTTCCGGGCCCCCCCAGCTCGGGCTGCTGAGCAAGGGGCGCCGGGAGGTGGGGGCGCCCCCGGGCTTGGGGTCAGGGCTCAGCCCCCCGGAGAGTGGGGGCCCCGGAGGGGCGGCCCAAAGGGAGAGGCGGCGGCCGGGAGCAGGGGAGACGGGGCGGGCCGGACTGGCCGGAGCCGGGGACAGGGCGGGGGGCTCGGCGCCCCCGGCGCCCGCGCCGCTCGTGCTGATCCACAGCGCATCCTGCCGGTGGAAGAGACGCTCGTGCCGCTTCTTGCCGGGCTCCTCCGCGCCTCGGGGGCTGCCAGGATCCCCGGTCTCGGCACCTCTGGTCCCGGGGGCGCCGGCTGCGGCCGCAGACGGAGAAGGCGGCGGCGGAGGCACCGACTCGAGCTTGACCAGGGTCAGCGAGATGAGGTAGGTCGTTGTCCGGCGCTGAAGCGCGCCCGCGCCCCGGCTCATGGGGCCCCGAGACCCCCGAGCTGGGGAGGGGAGGGGACTCCCCCGGACTGCCTCAGGGGGGCCCGGCCATGGGGCCGCCCTGCTCGCTGCCCCCAGCCCCCGGACCCCGCTGAGCCCCCAGCCCGGCTCCGCTGTCGCCGCCGCCTCCGCCGCCTCCGCTTGCGCCCCCCTCCCATCACACGGGGCGCCCCCTCCCCATGCTCCCCGCCCTGCGCCCCCACCCCGTTGGAGCCCCGGGACCTTGGTGCTGCTCCAGGGAGGCGCGCCGGACCTTGCGCCCCTGCCTGGGTGGGGGCGCCGAGATGGGCGGAGGAGGGCGGGGAGGACAGTAGTGGGGGCAAATAGGGGAGAGGGAGAAAAAGGGGGCAGAAAAGAGGGACCCGAGGCTGGGGGAGAGGAAGAACCGGTGCGGGGGAGGCAGGGGCGGGGAATGGGGACTCAGGGGACAGGGGCCGTGGATGGGGGTCGGAGAGGGGATCTGTAGGAAGGTGGGAAGCTAATGGGCTGGTCGTGCGGGGGATTCGCAGGGGCGCGGGGGGGATGCTGGGGATGGAGATACAGGCGCCGGCGGGGGAGGAAGGAGGGAAGCCTTAGGGGGTGGGAACCCACGGGTCTGGGGTCTGGGAAGGAAGGGGCGTGAGATCCGGGCGAAGGATCCGGGGGGCTCGCCGGGGCTCGGCTCGGTCCGGATGCGCTCTGTGTCCGGGCGCTCCCCTCACATTGAGGAGGAGGCGGCCCCCCGCCCCCCCCACCCTATCTCCCCCCCCCCTTCTCTCCACCAGCTCGGCTGTCTGAGAAGGCGGTGCAAAATCCAGGACTGGATTTCCCTCCCAAATCCTGGGCTGGATTTCCTAGAACTTGGACTCACCTACTCCAACAATCTAGCCCCCTCCCCTAGCACACCACGGTTAGGGAGCGCGACTGTTGGGTGTGGCATTTAGGGACAGGGGTAAAAATCAGTACACGGGTGGACAGTCCGCAGGGAAAACGGAGCGAATTTAGGGGTCACTGCCAATTCTGGAGAAGTTGAAGTGGGGAAATGGGAAGTCCTGAAATCCCTTTCCCAAGACCCCTTGTCTCCCCCAGGTAATTGCACGCATTCTTTTTCCCATCACCCAGCCGCCTGGGCCACCCCACCCCACCCCCACACGCAATAAATTGATGGGGACACGACTTAAGCCCAACTGTCCCAAAGTGAACTTGGAAAGTGTTCCCTGGGGATGGGGACAAACATGGAACTTAGCAGGGTAGGAAGGAGGGGGGTGCCTTAGGAGGGGAGAGATCCGAGGGCTCCAGGAGCCCAGGCCAAAAAGTGAGTCAAAGGCTCCAGCTTGAGGTGGAAGGAGAAGGAATATGTCTACAGATTGACACCCCCCATACCAAAATGCCTCCAGTCTCCATAGCAACCGTAGCTCCAAGAGTGCCTCAGAATCAGCGGGGATAAGCAGAGAAGAATCGGTGTGTATGGTGGGTGGGGGACCTGCCAGGGGACTGGGGGTTAAGGAAGACACCATCCTCGAATCCGGTTACCCACACGTGGGGTATTTAGTATCCCTGAATATAAGGACCCCTTCAGTTGAGGCGGGAGCCGGCCTCTTTTCGGTTCCCATTCGGTCTCCGGAGGTTTTCAGGGTGGAGGCCTTTTAGAAGGTTAAAGAGGAGATAGAGAGAATGGAAAACGTCTGTCTGCTCTATGTCCACCACCCTTCTAGGGACCCTGGAGTTCAAGACTCACTGTCCTCTACCCTGGGGAGAAGGTTGAAGGGGGTAGGCCAATGGGGAATGGAGGCTGAGACCTGTCAGGGATAGGCCAGAGTGACGGCAGGCCTTCATGCAGGCTTGGAGACCCCTCCCTGGACTCAGGGAGTCTCAGCATTCCCCTAATTTGGTGTCCCACCCTCCTGACGCAGCTGAGACTATAATAAGTGCTGTCGTGGGCGGCTCTTGGAGGCAGGAGCCAGCCAGGAGCAGGCAGCGTGCTTGGCCTGGTAGGGGGTGAAGGGGGGGGGTGGTACCAGGATGCTGGATGCCCTTTGTTTTCCCTGAGACCTGTACCCAATCCCTCTTGAGTCCTGTCCTGAGGTCAGCAGCCCCCTCTCCACCCCACCCCAGGAGGACACCATTCCCAGGACAGGGGACCCTTCAGTAGCCTTTTCTGAATGTTCTGAAAGAGAGGGTAAAGGAGATTTGCTATTTCTGCCTTGATTTTCCTTCCTTCCTTTGGTGGCCTCAGTCTTCCTTTATGCTCAGTGGGAAGAGAATCCTGACTCTCAGGGAAGGAGTGGGACAAGTCACTTGTGAAGAGTGGAGTCTTCTGGGCGATTTCAGCTTCCACCCCTCCTCACTCCCTCCTCCAGAGCTAAGGGGAGCTCCTCCACCCTGACTAAACCCTTTTCCTCCCCCTCTTTTTTTTTTTTTTTCTACAGGGGTGGGGTTTGGAGTTCCTTCCTAGGAGGCCCCATGGGGCCACTCCCCCTGGGTCTGCCTTTCCACCCACTGAGGCTGTAGGAAAGGTGTCAGCCATCGTTCTTGGCAAAGGGTGGGGACAGGAGGTGAGAGGGGCACTAGCCTCAGAAAGGCAATGGGAAGGGGATCAGACTGTCCCCTTAGGAACCCGAACCAAATGTTCCCTCCCCAAGTTACGGTATGGTGGCCTCTACCACCAGAGAGGTCTGGCAGCAGGTGTCCCTGATGGAAAGAATGGTCTCTTGAACCCCCACCCCCACCCCAGGTAGGCAGCTGAGGCTGGAGCGGCTGGGAGACCAGGCTGTGATGAAGGATGTACTTCTCCCAGACACCTTTCAGGAACAACATGGCTGGCTTTTGTCAGCTCTTTGCCACCTCAGAGGTAAATGAGAGGAGGCTAGGCTGGAGACGCCTTTCAGTTCCACCAGCTCCTTAGCGGTGGGGCCCTGTGGATAGAGAGAAGCTGTTCCTGCCGGCCCCCCCCCACCAGACTGAAGGCTGGGGTGGGCAGGAGGATGTGGCGGATGGTGTTGCCATGGCAGCACTTCCTCCCTGTGTTGTCATCACTTGCTCTAATGGCACTAAGGAGGTAGAGCGGAAGGTGTGTGTGTTGGGGGTGGGGGGAAGGACAGGAACAGGGGCATGGGGAAGAGAGGGGACCGAAAAGAGTCCTGGGACTTCGTTACACTTTGGTTACAGTATGAGTAGTAGTGTGTGCCTGGGAGGCTGAGATTCTCTGCGTGGTGTATTTCAACGTGTGTGTGTTTCTCTCTACAGCTGGAGAACAAGAGGTCACTGATCCTTTGTGGGTCCTGGGAATGAGCACATTATCCAGTCCCAGAACCTCCTGCCCCACACTGCTTCCTGCCCTGGACTCCCCAGGCAGGGTCCAAGGCTACCCTGGGTCTGTCACGGCCTCCCCTCCCCATGCTCACCCACTTCTCCATTGCCAAGAAGGTCAGCTCAGCAGTGACTTGTATTTTGATCCCCTGGGAGCAGGATCAGAGTTGGGGAAAGAGGAAGAACGACACCTCCCATATCTGTTTTCCATCCTGTCCAAATATTCTTCCCCCGAGTCCCAGCTCCATCTAGAGGACTAGGAAGTGGCTGATTGGGAAGTGATGTATGGCACAGCAAGCCCTTCTATGCCTCCGCTGGTCCCCGATACACCCAAGTTGGGAGCTAACCCTTCTCTTACCTCGCACACTGTCCAGTGAGGCCTGGATGCTGTCCCGAAGTTCAGGATCGCCCACCCTCTCTGCCAGCTTCCTTAGGCGGCTTAGAGACTGCTTGGCCACCTCGTGTCGCCTGACTTCTGCTCTCACTGCAGCGACAGCCAACTGCCTCTGGGCATGCATGTTGCCCAGACCTGTCTTGCCAGGCTAACAGCAACCTCTGGCCTTGAAGCCCATGGCCCCGCAGTCCTCAAAAAACAGAAGGCCCCTTCTGCTGTGCCCCAGAACTCTGCGCTCCTGCCCGCCCTTCCGTCTGTCGGCCTCACTTCCTGACTGGTGAGTTTCAAACCCACAGCCTGGGACAGCACTACCTGCTGAACCTCCCACCCCCTCTAGCGTTGGCCCATGAACTCTGCCAGCCAGCCCCTGCTGTACGTCCTCAGCCAGGTGGATGGAGAGACCTCAACGAGCGTCCTAGGGCCTCCTGTGGGAGATGGCTAATTAAGATGGGTGTTGGTGCTAGGAAAATGTGCCAAGCCAGGCCCCAGGTGCAATCCCAAACTCTTGGTGATCTACAGATTCATGCTCAGTCTCAAACTCTGACAGGAATGTATACACACTTGGTCTCTCACCCTAACAGCCCTGCATTCCAGCTCGCAATTGTACTCACCACCCACTCTGTACCCACCACATCCAAAGAGCTCGTATACCTACATCTTGCTCCAGAACCCTTCTTCAGTTGGCTGCCGCACTCAGAAAGGCAATGGGAATGGTTACCTCCTGCTTATAAAGTTCAGGTAGTTATGGGGAGAACAGGTTATGGAGGAGAACAGCAACTATAACCAGACAAAACCACCATGCTCTCTCAATTACTTCCATAATAATTGTCTGTAACAACAGTTTACGACACACTTTCAAATATATGGTCTTTATGACAGGCCCAAGGGGTGCAAGAAAGGAAGCCAAAGTTCAGAGAGGCCAGTAAGAGGTGAAAAAAAAATCTATGGAAGTCTATGGGTCTAGGTCTTTTTTTTTTTTAGATTTTATTTTTAAGTAATCTCTACACCCATCGTGGGGCTCCAACTCACCACCCTGAGATCAAGTGTTGCACGCTCCCCTGACTGAGCCAGCCAGGCACCCCTGTGAGCCTAGGTCTTCTGATTTCAACTCTGATACTCTTTTTCACTATACCACCCAAACAAGATGCCTGCCAACCACCTCCCCTTATCTCTAATACCATTGTCTTGCCCTTGATTTCGGACCTGAAAGAGAAGAGGGTAGACGAGGAATTAAAGGACAGAATGAAGATGCAGGGGGAATGCGGGGGTGTGTGTCGCTAATTTGATCTAATCACTTTGTTTCAGGACTCAAACCCTTCTGGCCCTGCCAAATGTCTTTTCTCCAGCACATGTTCTTTTTTTTTTCTTAAAGATTTTATTTATTTGACAGAGAGAGAGGGAACACAAGCGGGGGGAGCGGGAGAGGGAGAAGCAGGCCTCCCACAGAGCTGGGAGCCCAACGCGGGGCTCCATCCCAGGACCCCGGGATCATGACCTGGGCCGAAGGCAGACGCCCAACGACTGAGCCACCCAGGCGCCCCTCCTGCACATGTTCTTGATACTAATTTATGAAGGATAGGGGATTATAACTATGTGACTATTTGTATAGTTGGAGATAAGGGAATTGGGGGCTGGGATTACCCACTGGAACTTATAGCCTGACGAAAATAACTAACACTGAGCGTTGACTGTGTGCCGGGTACTGTCCTAAGCACATATATCTGCATATATTAACTCATTCGATTCTCACAACAACCCAAGAGGCAGGTGTATTGTTATTTATCTCTATTTACAGATGAAACAGCCACAGAGAGCCAAAGGTTACACAGCCAGTAAGTGGCAAAGTTGGAACCCATGCAGTCTGGCAATTAGACTACTGCTTCGGCAGTCATAGAATCTAAGTACATACAAACTGAAGTCATCCTGTGGGGTTGAAGGGAGGTTTTTTGTTTGTGTTCCCATTACCACTGTTTCTCTTGGGGGAAAGAGGAATTATGCCTTTTCCCATATCCATGAAAAACATTTATTCAATACTAAGCATATTGATCAACCTCTATGCCCACCCCCGTGAAAATGTGGAGACTCCTCCTTCCCCTAATATTTATTCATATTCCTTCACATTCCAGACCTCTCCCTTGGCCTTTTTTTTTGTAAGCCCTGGATCAGGCACGTGCTCTGAAGATACCGAGCACACGCATGTCTGCGCTTGTGGCTTTGTCATGCACAGGAATGCCCTGGCTCGAAGAAGCTGTTCTTCACACTGAATTTCTAGCATATTCACACCCAGTTAGGAGGGGATATGGAAGAAGAAATGTGTACTAGCGGACACACCTGCAAATGTGTGACGGCTTGTTGGATGTTACTGTGCCCAACCCGGGCGAAATAGCTCGATGTTGTGCTCCTCTGGGTGTTCCCGAGCGTGATGCAATAACAACAAACAACGGCGTCATCATGAGATCACTGCGGGACAAGGGGAAAGGGGCGGGAAAGAGCGCTCCCTCGAGGGGAGGAGCCCTTTCACCCTGCCCTCGAAGCCGCACCTCTCCCTCTTCCACTGGGTTTCTCCTGAGCCTCCTCCCTCGGATTAGCTCTCTTCCAGCGGCGGCCACTGAAAGCTCCGGTTTCAATCCGGGGAAGTTTAGGCTTTGCTCCTTATGAGAATCTATGGAAGCCCTACCCCCAGTTTAAGTTTCAGCCAATAAAGAACCTAAAGGAGGGGCCGGCAGGCGGGTCAGTGACGCAATGCAGACTGATTGGCATTCAGGCCACCGACGTCCTGGATTAGCCCTGAGTTTCGCCAATCCAGAGGCAGGGGTGGGACGGTGCAGGCGCAGAGGACTGGGTTTGGCTGGACTCGATTTAAAGAGACAGAAGCTGTCGGGGTCCAAGAAGACGGTCCCCAAGAACCTCCCCCCAAGTCCTTGGGACCACTTGGGTCCCCAAAGCTGGGGAGATGGTTTGCGGTGGCTTTGCCTGCTCCAAGAATGCCCTGTGCGCTCTCAACGTGGTCTACATGGTGAGGTTTTGGAGGTGGTTCGGGAAGCTTCAGGGCGGAAAGAGGAGTGGGGAGAATCTCTAGGGGACTTCCGGTGGGAAGAGAGGTGTACTGGGGGTTCCGGGAAGATTCCCGAGAACTTCCGGCGAAGAGGGAATTCCAGGGGACTTCCGTGGGAAGAGGGGAGACTTCCGGTGACCAGAGGGTTTGTCTGGGGGTGGGGGCGGATGAACCGAGGGCTGTGGGCATAAAGGCCCATTCCCCCCTCCTGGGAATTTGTTTCTCCCAAAATAGAAGTAATGGATGAAGCTAAAATTTCCTTTTTTATATTCATAGACTACTATCCCTGCTGCCCCCACTCCCATCCCAGCCATCCTGACCTCTGGTGGGTGCATACACCTGCTGTCCTTAGTTCACACAAACTCAGATCTCCTTTTTTGTCCCAAGACTCCCTGTAGGGCTTTTGGCTGTGCTAGAGTTCTTTTGAGATGTAACCTGCTCTATTTCCTGTAGCTGGTAGGCTTGTTGCTCATTGGAGTGGCTGCTTGGGGTAAGGGTCTGGGTCTGGTGTCCAGCATCCACATCATCGGAGGAGTCATTGCTGTGGGAGTCTTCCTTCTTCTCATCGCGGTGGCTGGACTGGTGGGTGCTGTCAACCACCACCAAGTACTGCTATTCTTCGTATCCTGACCTTAAGTGGGGTTCTTGGGAGGGCTGAATTGGCTAGGAATGTTTGAGAGGGGTAGACTTGAGGGATCTTGGGGACAGGTCTCCTGGCCCTGCCCTATACCATACTTCATGAAACGAGCTGATGACTTTGTTTTCAACTAACACAGCTATGTAAGTTCTATGAACAGATGACAACAGATGGTTATTATACGTGCAACATAAAGGAATCTAGGACTTTTTTTTTTCCCCATAACTCTTCCTCTCAGTACATGATCATCCTTGGGTTGGTCTTCATCTTCCAGTTTGGAATCTCTTGCTCATGTCTGGCTATTAACCGAAGCAAACAGGTAAGTGCATGTCCTCTCAGCTATTTGCTTTTTTTCCTCTACCCTCTAACTCCCTCCCCTCAGTCTGGACCTCTTAGTAACCCACTACCAGACTCTTCAGCTATTTGCTTCCTCTGGGAAGTCTGGGTAATTTTCCATGAGTATTTTCCAGAAGAACCCAGAGGTGGATTTTTATCATTTTCTGTATAATCCACCTTTGTTTCTGAGGGATGTTGACTGACTTTGCTGGAATAGGGAAATCGAGGCACTTGAACTAAGATCATGATATAAGAGCATTCTTAAGGTTAGCAGCATCCAATAATTTCCCTCTTGCCTATATTCTCCAGACAGATGTCATTAATGCTTCTTGGTGGGTCATGAGCAACAAGACCCGGGATGAACTGGAAAGAAGTTTTGATTGTTGTGGCTTGTTCAACCTCACAACCCTGTATCAACAGGATTACGCTTTCTGCACTGCAGTGAGTTGGTGCAGAGGTGGGGCCGGGGGCCGGAGGGTAGGAAAGCTGGTTAAGGATACTGCCCAGACTGGCAGATTTAAGAGTTTGAATGACTGCCTCTCTCTAGCAGCTCTCTTGCACTGGGGCCATGTGCTGAGAGGGCGGGAGGTATGGATACAAAGGTTAGAGAATTAGTCAAATGAGATTTCATTCTGTAGGATACTGATTAGAAACTAGTAAATAATTTCTGGGGCCCTTCACCACAGGTGTCAGGATAGGGCAGCCTAGCAACTCTGCATCCTCTAAACACACGCACACGTGTTTTATTCTCAGATCTGTAAGAGCCGGAGCTCCACGTGCCAGATGTGTGGAGAAAAGTTTCTTAAGCATTCAGACAAAGCCCTGAAAATCCTGGGGGGTGTTGGACTCTTCTTTAGCTTTACAGAGGTAACATTCTTCAGTTCTCTCATACATACACCCTTTCTGTCTTAGCTCCAGAGATTTGGAATTGCTGATAATCTCTTTCCCTTTGCTTTTTACAGATTCTTGGTGTTTGGCTAGCAATGAGATTTCGGAATCAGAAGGATCCTCGAGCTAACCCCAGTGCCTTTCTATAAGACTCTAGATCCTTCTGACTTTTCTCCTGCTCTCTATCCTCCCTAAGCTTTTTTTCCTCCCTTAGGGAAAACCTAGGGTCTGTAGCCCTTTTTGTTTGAGAAAAAGGAAAGGCCCTTTGCCACATCCCCCAAAGATGACTGAACAGCCAGGCTGTATGCCTTGACATGTTTAGTGGGAGCAAGATCATAAGGAATAAAGAACAACTTCCTCCCTCTCTCCCTAAGTGGATATGGGAAGCTCCTGGGAGTGCATGAGATGGGATGGGGGTTGGAGTCATTCCTGGCTCTGTTTCCCCGCTTTTCCCTTCCACATGCCAGACCACCTCAACACATCCTGGCCTGGCTCCAAGGGTAAATCAGGGATGGAACCAGGGAAAAAACCACCAAGAACTCTTTCTTACACTAAGCAGGACCCGGTGTGGGGAAGTTCAGTGAATATAAAAATAAAAGCCACTTAAACTCCACATTCAAAGAAACAATGTAAGTGCCTTTTCTTTTGCCAGTTGAGGGGTTCCGCTTGCCTACATAGACCCTGTGACCTAGGGAGAATCTTTTAAGATTCTGTAGGAAAGTGCCATCTTCCAAATGGCTTTTCCCAATCCCCAAATGGCAAAGCCCATGAAAGGAAGAAACATTTAAAAAAAAAAAAGACCGTATTTCTTTGTTTTCTTTTGTTTTTCCTGTATAAAAAAGATCCCAATATCAAGATAGGAAAGGGGAGAACAAGGGACATACCCCTTGGTGTACGAAAATAAGGGGGCAGGAGAAGGATAAGCCTCAAAAGGGGGTGGGGGGGATGTCGTTAAGGCAGCAAAATATTCTCATAAAAAGTGGGAGGAGGAGTTTCCATAGCCTCAGAGATGAAGGCCGAGATGGCCTTACTCAACTGGGGGGCTCTCCACTCAAGTGTTCAAAGGAAGGAAAATGACAGCTTCTCTTCTCTCAGTATTGTTGCGGCCACTCCACTGCTCACTCTGGGTTACCTTCTGCCTTTTGTAGATAAGAGTGCTGCAGGGCTCGGAAGGCAGAGATTCGCTTGTGTGGGTTAAAAGTCAGCATCTCCTAAGATGGGGAGGCAAAGATCAAAAGACCATGAAGACAAAAAAAAAAGAAAAAGAAAAAGACTTGCTCACCCCCAACAATACCCAGGATGGGCTCTTTTTCTACATCCCTCTTTGTGGATGGCCTATTCACAGCAACAGTAAAAACTAGCCCATCCACCAACCAACTCTTAGTAACCGTGACGATTTGGGTCCTTTTTATACTGCTTTTATTCCCACCCCAACCTCACCCTGTGCCCATGCCCAAGCCCAGTACCAGCAGCAGCTGTGCTCCAGATTCCTCCATCTCAGGTACCACTGACTGCACTGGACGGGGCCCTCGGGGGGAAAAGGCTCCTCGGGGGAGAGACACATCTCGGGGCCAGTCATCCTCTGGGGGCAGCCCGATCAGGCTATGGGGAACAGGAGAGCTCTGGTCAAGAGGGTCCTTCTCCAGTCTCCACCTCCAGAGGCAGAGCCAATTGCCATCCGGGGCTCAGCAGAAAGAAGATTCAGAATGGAAAGTTCTTTTCCCCATGCTGGTCACTTACTCAAAGATTTTGCCTAACTGGTCAGCTTCAGAGTTTCCACAGAAGAGAGGCCTAAAGTGAGAAAAACACAGGTAGCAGTCATTTTCAAAGATATGGCAGTGGAATAATTATTACTACTGGCTCCAAACAGAGGGTGCGGAGAATATAGGGATGTGAAGTTCCTAATTTCAGGACATTTCAGAGTTTCTGGTTAGGAACAAAATGGTCAGTAATATTAAAGAATACGCAGGGAATGGATGTGGCTTATGACTAAGATTTGGGAAACTCAAGAGTTCAGGAGACTTGGGTCCCATACTTGCGGCGAAACATCTCTGCGAAGATACAGCCAACGCTCCACATGTCCACGGGTGTTGCGTATGTAGACTGCAGAAGAACTTCTGGAGCACGGTACCAGAGTGTAACAACCTGACCGGAATAAGAAAAGTAGATGAGAACCCTACGGGTTACCATGAACTACAACTGCTTGACTAAAGTAATGAAGCCCATGACTTCTCAACTGCTATGGTCAACCACTCTCCTACCCTCATCTTTCTACTGACCACAGGTGTAAGTGCCATCTGGTAGCTGTAGATTCTGGCCAGGCCAAAGTCAGCCAGCTTGACTGTCCCACCACTAGTCACCAGAATGTTCTCTGGCTTCAGGTCTCGGTGAACGATGCAGTTGGCATGAAGGAAATCTAGGCCTCTTAGAAACTGGCGCATCAGATCCTGGTTTGGAAGGGGGAGGAACAGAGGAACTGGAAACTAGGTACCATACCTGAAATCACAACAGGTTCTACTACAAAGGTCTCAATGTACCTTCTCAAGTGTCTACCCACCCTACTCACCTTGATGGTCTCCACTGGCAAACCTGGTGGGGGTGCCTTGTCCAGATAGGTCCTCAGGTCTTGGTCCACGTGCTCAAACACCAGGGTCACTTTGGTCTCCCGGTCAGTTCGGGCGGTGGCACAGACGTCCATCAGCCTGGCCAGAGCAAATGGTCACTCACTGATCAATCCCTTTGTTCCCAACATGGCCTCCCCTATTTCCTCAGGATCCCCACTTCTCTCCTGACCACCACTCCCCACCTATAAGTTGTCTTTTCCCCTTTACTGCCCACTCCTAACCCTCCACCGTCTCACCGGACAACGTTGGGATGCTCAAAAGCCTCCAGCCGCCTCAGTAAGGCCACCTCACGAACTGTGCTGATGGGAAGGCCCCCGCCAGCACCTCCTCCATTAGGGACTCTCACACTCTTGAGGGCCACGAAGTGGCCACTGTGGGGATCACGGGCCTTGTATACCGTTCCATAGGCACCAACACCAATCTCAGCCACTGGCTCATATCGAGGAGTAGCCATTCTCAGATCAGAGGAGACCCTACAATCACAAAGACTCCTGCCACCGAAAATCCCTTCCAGAGTTCAGATGGTATGAGCCTGCAGCAATAAAGTGACTCCCACAGAAGACATCACAAAGACACCACCACCACCATCCCGTCCCTTCCCCAATCTTCCTTGAGGCTGGCCCCTCAGGTAACACAATGACTCTAACCCCAACCCCTCCAGCCACGTGAAGCCCTAAAATAAAAAATTCCTTTTCCTTTGGGCCCGACCATCGCGCCCTGCACAAAGTTCTATCTCACACGACACACCCCTTGCATCGAAGACCCGACATCCAGGCCCTAAAATTACACCTCCCTATGACCACAAAGGAACAAATTACACCCTGCCTCACTTCCCGCCCTCGAGCAACCCTTCCATAACTTGTCCGCGTAGGCAGCCGTGGAGAGCGAAAACGGTCCCCATTCCTGGGAAGGGGCTATGCTTACCTCACTCCGTGCCGGGAGCTGCGGGGGCGGCCCGTTATCGGGGCCCCGGAGCCAGATCCTGCGGCGCCATACACTCGAGCTCTGTCCCGGGAAGCTGGACGCTACGGGCCCAACTATAGACACAGGCCGCAAGCTAGAACGGCCCCCTTACCCCCACCCTCACCATGTGACCAGCTGCCAAAGAGGCGCGCGGAAACTGGAGGGGCGGGGCGAAAGCCGGACGTTCGGAGCACGTGACGAGCCACTCATGCGCAGAGGGGTACCCAGGAGAGGCTTTGACTGGGAAGGGGGTGGGTAGGGGAAAGGGGCGGGGGGTGGGGGTGGGAGATGGCAGCCACGTGATCTGTTGCTATCACACGTGACCGCTCGACTGCGCTCTGAGGAGCAGAGGTGTGGTTACGCGGCGGGGCACGTGACTGACTGCCAGACCCTGGCGGCGTTGAGGGGGCGGGGGAGACGAGAGAGGGTGGAGTCCAATGCGGTGCCATGGCAACCTGGGCCACCCAGATCCCAACTCAGGGTTGCAGGCCGAGCCTGAACGCTTCTCCAGTCTCACTACACACTGCACGTCTCTCACTCTCCATATGGTGGTCAGGGATCGGGAGGATGGGACGGGGGTCGAGAGGTGGTGCTGTAGCCTTTCCGCTTCCCTGCCATGGGAAAACATATTCTCATTTGTGTCTTTGTTTCATTCATTCATTCATTCAACAAATTTTTACTGAGTGCTTGCTTCCTGTGTGCATGAGGAGTTTTTTGGGTGTCTCCGTCACTAGCCCTTTAAAGTTTTGATGAGGCTGTCTGTAAAGATGTAGCCAACAGTGTGGTCGTATAAAATAGTAGACAATACCCATTTGAGGGCAAAACTAGGAATAAAGGATTGATGGAGGGTAGATTAATGCAGTAATCGGACAGGAAGAGTGTCAAGGTAATGCCCTCCCCTCTTCTAAATTCCACCCCTTCCTGGTAGTGTTAAAATAACGCTTTCTGGCAGAGAAGTTATCAATGAGCAAGAGACAGGAATACTTAACCTTTAAGCTTCTTTCCAACACTTAGATGCTATGATATATGTGTGTCTGTATATGTGTATACAAGTGTGTATATTTTACACGTTATATATAGATGGATAGATACAAGAGTGAGCATGTGCAGGGAAGTTACCTCCACCACCACCTCGGACCATGGCATTGCATGAGAATGATTTGTGCTCTTCTACAAATCCTGTGACTCCTTGTTTGGGGTCATTCTGCTTCTCTCTTTTCCCCAGTGCAAGCTTTCTTAGCCCTTGCTCCTGGCCAGAACACAGAATTTTCAAAATAGCCTCTGCTCACAGACACTTAGGTAGACAACAGACAGGTTTCTCTGACTTTCCTTGTCTTTTTTTTTTTTTTTTTTTTACTTTCCTTGTCTTACTGGTTACTGGCTCCAACTTCTTTTTTAATCTCCTAAACCTTTAGGGGAATGGGACTAAGGAGGGAAGGGATCAATATCTCATTTGCAAGAAATTGTCTAAAATCTGAAACCATTTTATAACTCGATTTGCCACTCCTTCCACTTTTTTAAAAAAAGATTTTATTTATTTGAGAGAGAAAGAGAGAGAGAGAACAAGGGGGGAGGGGCAGAGGGAGAAGCAGACTCCCTGCAGAGCAGGGAGCCTGTCACAGGACTCTATCCCAGGACCCTGGGATCATGACCTGACCTGAAGGCAGATGCTTAACCGACTGTGCTACCCAGGCACCGCCCGCCACTCCTTCCACCTTAACTTCTATTCTCCTTAACCATCTAGTGGAGGATGTAAGAGCTCAGGCTTGAGATGACTATAAACCACACTCCAGGGCAAAATGGAATACAGGTAGGTACAGATTCCCCCTCTTGCATTCTGATAGTTGTAGCTCTGGGCCCTTGCTGGCAAGGGCAACTGGGACACTGGAAAGAAAAACCTCAAGATCTAAACTGGCTCAGGGGCTTCTGAGGTGAATGTTTTATTGGCTCTCTTGCTGGGACTGGTTGGTTTATAAACCTTCTGGCAGGCAAAGTGAGTTTGTCAAATTTCTTTCCTACACCAACAGGGTCCACTTCAGCTTCACCTTCCACAGCTTACTGTCTTTAGAATAAAAGTCATCCTCTATGTTGCCTTGGGTTCCAGCCCCCTTTGTGATTCATCCATCCATCCATCCAAAACATTTGAATACTTTATAAAAGCATTACTCTCCTTAATCTCTTTTCTTGAGGAGACTTCGTTTGGCAGTCTGTCCCTGGTTCCATACCCTCCCTTCTCCTGTTAATTACTCTTTTACTAATTAATTTTTTTCCAGTGTGTTTGACCCAGAGGGCTCCTCTGCAATCCCTTTTCCCTCAGCGTTGGAGAGGGAGGACATAAGTGTAAGGCAGAGATAATGTGATGAGGGGGAAGAGCTGGTTCTTAGGTCAAGGCCTCTGTAAAAGCAAAACCAAAGAGCTGCGTGTGTGTAGGTGTGTGTGTGGTATTCACTTCACTGTAGTGTGGTGGGGCAGGAGAGTACCAGGAAAGACACTCTCATCCCTTTAGCACTCTTGTCTCCCTTGCTCACTCACCTTCCTCACGCATTACAATTACACACTCTGTTTTTCATACAATCCGATTGCATCCCTTACACACTCATCTGTTTTCCACTGTCCCACACCGTGCACACTTTTCGGTCTTTTGTGTAAAAGTGTTTATTGCTTGAGTCCATCTCTTGCTCACCTTCCTCACACCTCAGACCCTTGCATAGCTCTTTCTTTGCACACTCCCATCTTGCACAAGCTTCTCCCTCCCTGGTGCACCTGTGTCTTTGACCACTCACCTTCCATCCTCACTCGCTCACCACCCCTCCCCCAGACCCCCATTAACACACCTATTCTCCTACCCGTGTGTACACCCCCCTTCCTTGGCCACTCCCCTCCCTCCACCCTCCCCCGGGCTCGCACACTCGCCCCCGCCTCTGGGGACACCTGCTCGTGCGGGGCAGGGCGGGGATGCGCAGCCGCGGCCACTTCTCTTCTCCCGCTCCCCGCCCCGCCC